GGGGGATTGGCAGAACGTCGAGTAGGAGCTGTATACCCCGCCATGAGGTAAGACTTTTCTGGAGGTAAAATTCTGGCTAAAGTTGTAATTTCGCTATCTGTAATGCCACAGCCCCTGCTTTATACAGAAGCAGCCTTGGGGTAACATTCTCCTGGCGCTAAGAGGCCTGTTATTCTATCATGTTGTCGGGGCGTGTTCTGGTCTCGACAACACCATTCACGTGCTCATGACCTTCCTTATAAAAATGTCTCCAGTTAATTACTGAAAGCAGGGGTTGGCGTGGGACGACGGAATGCTTGACTGCTATGATGAGATCACTAATAGGAAGTGCCGTCAGAGTCGATAACTGACGATAACTGTTCCTGGCTGACTGCAGTCGAGCCCTCACCAGTTGCTGGTGTTTAGGATTAACTCGGCCTGAACTATAACAACTGTCCTATTCATCTAGGTAGGAAATTTGGAGTGGAGAATTCCCAGCAGCCGTGGCCTCCCGTGAGGTAAGCTTTCATCTTGACTTATAGCAGTAATTCATATGTACCAGTCTAGCCTGACTTGGAATGTTTCTACTCAATACTGGTTGGAGTTGGTGCGGGGGCTAAAGCAGGGTGGAGTGTCAAGGCGTCCAACTTCCGTGGAGAGTGAGTGCTGTGAATCAAACCTGGTCCCGTGGAAGAGCAACCACCAGTGCTCTCAAACCCTGAGCCATTTTTTCAGTACTTTAAGTCTTAAAATTTTCATTTATGTGGCGGTTTGGACAGTTCATCTTGCCATTTGGGTCCCATGGAGTTAACCCAGCTGGATTGGCATTGCAGAAGCAATTTCACTTCGATGCTTTTATTAGATTGTGCTTTAAAACTAGGTTTCAGTGGGGCTGCCATTAGAAATAACTTTGTTCCTACAATCTTAGGAGTGTCCATATCCTCAAGTATTGTGAGAACAATGCCGGAATGCAGTCTATCTTGGCGGCAGTGGTAAAGGAGGAGGTAAGTGATTATCTCAAGCAGCTAGTTGTCATTATTTTGAAAGGATGTCAAATGATGATATCACCTAAAATAGCTGGAATTACCGGCAGATTGGTAGTGGTGAGCCTATGGTTTTCTGAAGATACCTTTAAATGTTAGGGATGCCATTGGTTGGAGCAAGTGTGATTCTGAAATTTAGTTCCTTTGCAGGCTCTGTCCAGAAGAGTCTCCAGCAACAATGCCACCATCAACTCGGGACTCTGGAAGCTACCTTTTGAGCATTGTTACGAAAGTACTCCCAAGCATGTGTCTGCCACCTTGTTCTGGTCAGGCACATTTGGTGATCATCCTGCCCCACAGGAGCAGAATCTCTTAATAAATGCCTGTTTACAAAATTTGTTGCTGCTGTATTGGATGAATTAACTCAACAGGTCACAATGTACAGCAGTTACAGAGCATTATATAGTAAAGCAGGATCTTTGGTATTGGTCCTTAAAAACATGTATTTGAAGAGTAAAATTTTCAGGTGTTGAACAGTCCAGCTTTAGCACTGTAAACTTCTGGTCAGTCTAAGCTGTTTTCACAACCTAGTCTTGGGCAAAGATTCCAAAGCATTAAGGCACCCACACTGAATTCCTGTCCCTTGGCTGTATTTATGCAGTACCATGTAAGGGAGGCTCCTATTTTACCCAAATTATGTTACCTGGCCAGTTAGGCTTTGCCCCCCCTTAATTTGGGTTTTTGTCCACATCTTGATCCATCTAATTCAAAATAGTTTTCTTGGGGAACATTATTGGAAAAATAGGTTCTCCTAACTCAGGTTGAACTAGTCCTGGAGCCTCCTGATAGGATTAAGTGCTTGAAAAGCCATTCTTGTGACTTTATTCTGGGAACAGGGCCTGAAACTATTAGAAAGTTGTTTTGGTTGAGGGGTAAAGGAACTAGGCATAGTACTGCCCTTCACAGTAGGACCCCCAGCCAAGAAAGGGAAGTCTGCAGCTTCAATTTCATCTTTTTCATACTAGGCGCTCAGAGGCCCCTTTGAGTTGGGAGGGTGCTCTAAGAATATAGTAAGATGCCCCTTTCCTGTTATGGGCCTCACTATTGGTGGCAGAGAGCTTTGTCCACCTGCACAATTCTGGGAGAACAGGCTGGGTGGAAACATGCCCAAAGCCCTAGAGCTTCTTAGAGCCAGCCACTGGGAGTTGGGGACAAGAGGTTACTGCTCGTCCTGTTCTCTCTGGGAGGAGCCCCTAACCTGCCTTAGCTATCCTGACAAGTTTTCCCCACTTCCAGGTCATGTCTCCCTGCTCTCATGGTCTCTGGTAGGTGTCACAGGGGTAACCCCAGGGTCCTGGCTTGTACCTTCCCTGGCCTCTTCCCCAGTACTTGGCCCCTCACCCAGCTCCAGGATGGTTGGTAGGTGGCCCTGTTTTGGAGAGCGCTTACGCAAGCTGAGTAGGAAGGGCTGGGGTAAAGAGAAGATATCCACATTGTTGCCCAGGTCAATCCATGTGACATTGGGAAACTTGCTGGGGTCCTTCAGGGTGTCAGTGAGGTCCCTCAGCAGAGCCCTGGTCAATCGGTTGCCATTGAGGGCTAGTGTGGTGAGGCGAGGCAGGGTACTGAGTGCAGGCAGTAGCTGCAGGACCATGTCATCTGTGAGGCCTGTGAAGCCCAGCTCCACACTGTCCACTTGCTCTCCACAGCGCTGAAGATAGCTGGTCACCCTCTCCAGGTCACGTGAGGTCAGTGGGATGCCTGACAGATCCACCATGTTGTCTTGAGGATTCCCAGCTAGGAGGGCCTTAAGACTGAAGGAAAGAAGGAATAAGCAGGCTAAGCAAGCAGGGCAGGTCTACTGGAGGCAGTAGTGGTTATCACCACAGAACTGTCTCTGCTTAATTCTGACCTGGGACCTCGTTTCTTCCAGCCCTTGCCAGGATGGGGAGATTACAGTGTCCCACAGCATCTGCTTCAGGCTCAGCAGAATGGACAGAGCATGAGGTTTGAGGCTGCCATTCCAGTAGCTCTCCAAGTCTTTCTGTATGCTGCCTGGAGTTTCCTCCTAACTCCTGTTTCCTACCCTGTGCTCTCTAGCTAGTTCACAGTGGTCTGTGCTTCATTTCAGTTGCTTGCCTAATAAAAAATAGTTAATTATCATAGGTTATGAGGAACACTAAATAGTGTTACAACAGTGCCTCCTATAGGCAGATGAGTAAATGCTGTCATTGTTAGTCACTTGGGTTGAGCTTTCACAATTGAGTGGCAGCTGAACTGCCTCCAATAACTGAGAACAGCTTTCAGAGGTGAAAGAAAAAGCATTCTTGGTGGCTTGATGTTTTCATCTCCTTCCTTGCTATCTTGGGGCCCAGACCACTTGGCTTGGTGGCAAGTATATCTCCAACCCCCATTCCCATTGGTGAGATACTCATTCTCTGAGTTTCCAAATGACTCAAGTAAGCCCTGACCCTCCTACCCTGGGGATGGCTCAACTTGCAAGAGTATAGCCTATGCTGGTAGCTCAAGGATCAGCCTCACCCAAGCAGCTACCCTGGGGCCTTCTTGAATGAAGCTGGATCTGTTATGAATTTGAGGCCTGTCTGGTTTGCATAGTGAGTTCCAGGCTAGCCAAGGCTACACAGCAAAAACCTTGTCTTAAAAAAAAAAAGCTGGACATAGTGGTACATGCCTTGAATTCTAGCACTTGGGAGGCAGATGGATTTCTGTGAGTTCAAGGCCAGCCTGAGTTCAAGGATAGCCAGAAGTATTCTTTGTCTGAGATGTCTCAAAACAAAAGCCCCAAATTACCCCCTCCCCCCGCCCACCCTGCCAAAAAAGCCAAACCAATCAAAAAAGGTGCAGGGGTAGGGAGAATTGGAGAGGTGGCTTAGTTAAGAACACAAACTGCTCTTGCAGAAGATCTGAGTCTGAGTTTGGTTCCCAGTACCCTGTCAGGCAGTTCACAACTGCTTGTTGTGAACTCCAGCTCTAGGGGGATCTGATGCCTCTAGACTCTGAGGGCACCTGCACTCCATGTATATATTATCACACACACACACACACACACACACACACACACACACACTTATTTTTAATTTAATGTGTATGGGCATTTGCCTGCACACATTTGTGCACCATGTGTGTGTCCGTTGCCTGAGGAGGCCAGAACGGAGTTGGATCTCCTGGAGTTAGAGATGGTTTTGAGCTTATGTGGGTGCTAGAATCTGAATCCCAATCATGTGCAAGAGCAGCCAGTGCTCTTAACTCGGTAAGCCATCTCTCCAGCCCCATGATGGGTAGTTTTAATTGTCAATGTCTAGAAACATGTGGGAAGAGCCTCCATAATTGTCTAGATCAGGTTGACCTGTGGGAATGTCTGTGGGGAACTGTCTGGATGCTTGTGTTAACTGACACAGGAAGACTCAGGCTGAAGTTAGTCTGACTGTCTGGGTGGAGAAAGAGAGCTGAGAGTCATGCATGCATTAATTTTCTCTCCTCTTTTGACTATGGATGTGACTAGTGGCTTCAATTTCCTGCCATCCTGATTCCCCCACAATGATGGATTGCAGCATAGAATTTTTGTTGTTTTGAGACAGGGTTTCTCTGTGGCTTTGGAGCCTGTCCTGGAACTAGCTCTTATAGATCAGGCTGGTCTCGAACTCACAGAGATCAGTCTGCCTCTACCTCCCAAGTGCTAGGAGTAAAGGTGTGTGTCACCACTGCCCGGCTAGGGTGGTTTTTTGTTTTTGTTTTTTGTTTTTTTATTATCAAAGCAACAGGAAATGAAACTGTCCTTTCCAACCTATTGGGAGCCACTTTGATGATCTGGGCACAGAACCAGGCCCTTGTCAGTCTTTGGGAAGGCAGGCCACTCATCTGTGTTATTTGTACAGCCTGCCCCTCAGCTGGGTTCCCTTGCTTCCTACCATGAGACCTGTTCTGTGTGTTGTATCTCAAGCCCTCTATCCTCTTGGTCTTTAGGAGGGTCTTCACTGCTGTATGGCTGGGACAAGGCTAGACTCTAGATCCCCTGGGAGGATATCCCAGAGAACTTTCTGGAAGTGGGTTGTGATGGTCACAACTTGAGGCAACCTTCTTTCTTGCCTTAGCCTCCAAAGTACAGAATTGCAGAGGTACCCCCACCGTGCCTGGTTTCCATCCCAGGAAATACCAGGAACACCAGGAAGTAGAAATGCCTCATGTCCCATCCCCACCTGTCCATCTGCAGGGCATGCTCCCCAGTTCCTACCCCAGGGACCTCCCTTTCAGCATCTCTCATGTACCTGGAATGACAGTTCTTTTCTGGTCCTTAAATCCAGAATGATCTTACCTCCTTCAAGCAGGATTTACTGCTATACCCTCAGGCTGAGGCCCTTCCCTTGGCATAGTCCCCCAGGAAGGGTATCAGTCAATAGGACTGGGGCAGGGCAGACTATAGGGACTGCCACTCACCAGGCCTGTGGCTTTCTCTTCACCAGCCCTCGATGCCTCCTCCACTGTGAATGAGGGCTAAGGTGGTAGGTCAGCTGCCGGCACAGCTTCTCCATGGCACCCAGCGCATCACCTTCCTGTAGAGGCAATCATAGGCACAGGTCTGTGAGGTGACCCTGGAGAACTTGGAGGTGTCCTGATCCCTACTCTAGGTTCCCTGGCTCTCTGGGAGCTCAGCATAAAGGAGGCCTGCTCTGCTGGCCCCAGTGAGTACCTTTGGCAGGAGTAGCAGGTGCAAATGTTGTGTGTGTGTATGTGTGTGTTGCTGGGAATCGAACCCAGGGCCTCAGACATGGTAAGCAAGTGCTCTACTACTGAGCTATTCTCTGAGTCTCTGCTTTGTGAATTAGTTGCTATCACTGGATAACCTGACACATATAAAAAGTCTGGATTACAGGTGGTCTGACCATGACTGGCTAGAACAGACCCGCTGAGCCAGAAATTGTGTGATAACCACTACACTATGGAAACTGATATATTTATTATGTATACAGTGTTCTGCCTGCATGTATACCTGCACTCCAGAAGAGGGCACCGGATCTCATTATAGATGATTGTGAGCCACGGTGTGGCTGCTGGGGAATTGAACTCAGGACCTCTGGAGGAGCATCAGTGATCTTAACCTCTGAGCCATTTCTCCAGCCCTCTTTCATTAACATTTGAGTTTGTGACCCTGAGTACCAACCATGAGCCCTCTAAGGATTATGTATTGCTCCCCCTCCCCCACCGTGTTCTGGAACTCACTCTGTAAACCAGGCTGGCCTCTAACCCAGGGATCCGCCTGCCTCTGCCTCCTGAGTGCTGGGATTAAAGGTGTGTGCCACTGCTGCCCAGCTCTACATTGATTTCCTAACCCTCAGTTACCCAGAATGTGACTGCAGTGAAAGACAGGGCATTTAAAGGTAATTAAAGGAAAAAAGAGGCCATGTTAGTGGACTTTACCTCAATACAACTGGTGTGTTTAGAAGTGATTGGGGCACAGACATAGAGGGAAGATCTATGTAAGCGTGAAGGGAAAAATTCTTCACAAAAGGCTAAAGAAGCTGCATCTTGGCCTTCTGACCTCTACAACAGTAAGAACATTAATTTCTGTCAATTAAGTCACCGGATTAACCGGGTTAACTGCAGTGGAAAGACTTAATAGAGAGACACCAACTCCATCTCAAGGAGAATCAATTCAACACAGCCCCTGTACCAGCTCTAAGCTGGGTAGAGAAGTGTGAATCCCACACCAGGAATGGGCAAGAGTGTGCTCCTGCCAGAAGGCCCAGTGCTGAGGGCCAAGAGCCAGCGAGTACTGGGGCTCCAATGCAAACCACAAATATGAGGTGGTAAGGTTCAATGTATCAAGCAGTATCAGCTTTTTGTTTTGTATCAGCTTTTCAATTATGATTATCATTGCCACTCTACTAATGGAGAAGCAGCCTATGAAATCATTTAGAACATGGGACTTGGGACCAGATTGTGCAGTTTCATGTCCTGGTTTTGTCTGTGACCTTGAGGGAATTAATGTGACTTCTTTGTGCCTTCAGTTCTCATAGGTAAAGTAAGTGTGTGTGTGTGTGTAGCAACACTGGCTTCACATGGGTTTGGAGGATTAACTGAGTCATTACTATTCAGGTGCTTTGTACAGAACCCAAGCTTGCTCAATGAGTACAGTCTGTAGCTGTGGGCTCATATAGGAATTCAACCAACCACAGATCAAGAGTACTCAGAAAAGCCAGACATGGTGTCGAACTCTAATCCCAGCAGAGGCAGGAGGATCTCTGTGAGTCTGAGGCCAGCCTGATGTACATAGTGAGTTCTAAGACAGCCAGGAGAGACCCTATCCAGAAAAGAACTATGTCTGTCCTGAACATGGACAGACTTATTTTTCTGTCATTACTCCTTAAACATTGTAGCACAACCATTACTCCTATATATAACCATTTACCTGGGTATGCTCATTGCAAAGGAGGGTGTACACATGTACCACACTGCTTCATGAAGGGACAAGTGCATTTGGTATCTACAGGGTCCTGGTGCTCATCCTCCGTGTAGGAAAAAAGGGCCAGCCAAAAAAACACACCCTGAGCAGAGCCAAAAGAAACACACTTTGGCCCTGCAACCAGAACCAAAGAAATGCACCCTGACTTTGAAACCAATGCAAAAGAAACACACTTTGTCCCTGGAATCAGAGCTGAAAGAAATACACCCTGACCCTAAAATTAGAGCTAAAAGGCTAAAAAGTACCAGTGAAAGAAACACCCTTTGGTCCTGAAACCAGGACCAAATCTGACTCTGAACTTGAGCAGAAAACCAACCAATCCCTGAGCAAGAGGACTAGGCAGTGTGAGCTCAAGGATTGAAATCTGACCAATCCCCAACCTGAAAATCTCTCTGGAAAAACTCTGCCCCTAAGAAACCCTATATAAAACCTGTGCCTGTTCAGCTTCTGGCTGTTCGGGGTTGCCCAGCTGTCCTCTGCTACCCTGGCAGAGGGCAGCCACTCTTGGATGCTTCCCTCCCAATAAATCTCTTGAATGAGGATTGGGTGAGACCTTCCTTCCCTGGAATGGAGCAGAGCAGGGTTGAAACACTTTCACTGGGGAAACCTTCCCCTAGCCAAGTGGAGTTGTTACACTCTGGTGGACTGGAGCTGAACTGTAACAACTTTGCTGGGGAAGCCCTCCCCTGCAAGAGCAGAGCAAGCCTTTCCCTGGAGCAGGGCTATAAATTGCTACCTTATGATTACTGTGACCTGTGGTATTCCTTGGCTTCCTAGTGCCAGAATACCTTTCCATTTGAACTGTAACACTCAGTATTCTGTGACTCCCAAGTGCCGGAATCCCTATCTGTCAGATCCATCGAAAACACAATGCTTATACTCCATGGAAAGACCAGCATAGTATGCTGAGCTTCGGTGCTAAAGACCCAAGGTCATTTCTATCTTGGCTCAGATATAAGTTGGTTTTGTGTTTTGTTGTTTTTAAGACAGGGTCTTAGCCGGGCATTGGTGGCACACGCCTTTAATCCCAGCACGTGGGAGGCAAGAGGCAGGCCGGTCTCTGTGAGTTCGAGGCCAGCCTGGTCTCCAGAGCAAGTACCAGGATAGGCTCCAAAGCCTCACAGAGAAACCCTGTCTCAAAAAAACAAAACAAAACAAAACAAAAAACAAAAAACAAAACTGTAGTCTGGAAATCACTGTAGATTAGGCTGGCCTCAAACTCAGAGTTCTGACCACCTCTGCCTCCCAAGCATGAGGATTAAAAGCATGTGTCACCATGCCCAGCTCTTAAACTGAGTTTTTAAGAGCAGATAGATAGTGGGTTTTTTGTTTGTTTGTTTGTTTATTTTGTTTTTGATGGAGAAAGGAAATCTGAGATATCCCTGAATGAGGAGCAACAATTGGCAAGGGTAGTTCTATAGGCACGGAGGCAGCAAGTAAGAATCTGGCCTGGGCAAGCCTGGCAATCCCCAAGCTATCATTTGTCCAAACCATCCTATCTCTCACCTGGATTACTGCAGACACCAAGCTGTAACTTTACTGAATGCCCACACTTCAGAACACTACATACTCTCACCACCCTCATTATAGAGGAGGGAACTGAGATTTCAGGGAGCTGTAGCTGACAGAATAGTAGGAGAAGGAAGTCTGAGCAGTGGGACAGGAGTGGGGAAGCCTGCGTGCGATTGAAGGCCTGGAGAAGTGAAGCATCTAAGCAGGGAGCTATCGAGTTGGCCTGCTACTGAGGGACTGCTCTGGGGGACTGTTCCTCACAGCCTATCTGCTCCCTGTTGCTTCAGCGTGACTGACTGATAAACGGGGATTATTCATCCATTCCGGGCAATCTCACTGAACCCCTAGAGCAGACACTGGATTCCTAGACTCAGGTTCTTGCTTAGCCTAGTCACACAGGATGGGAGCATGCAACACAGACAAGGGGATGCATCATTGGGTGTTGCCAAGGAATCCGCAGAGAGGAATGGTGGGTGAGGTTTATATCCTGGGATTTTCTTACAGGGAGATGGGGTGGGAAAACTGGGAAGTTGAGAGGGTGACTGAGGCCATGCCCATAGAAGGGACTGAAAGTGACAGAGGTCATACCCAAGTTGGAAAAGGTGTGGGCAGAATGCAGATGAAGGCATGGGGATTTGGGCTAGAGATCTGGGCAGAAAGCACAGGGTGCGTGATAGTATTAGTTGTCAGTGTGACAGAATGCAGCATTTGCCTGGGAGATGGGCTGCTAAGCACGCCTGTGGTTAGCATTATCAATAGATAATAGATAATAGATAGATAATCAATCATTATCTTGATTATGTATAGGAGTGGGAAGATACACTCATGTGTCTCAGTGTTTTGATTATGCAACGTGTTCAGTTACTTCAAGTTCTCTGACATTCTGACTCTCGGATGTGATGGACTGTCCCCTTGAACTGTAAGCCAGAATAAACCCTTTCTCTCTTAAGTTGCTTTTATCATAGTACTTATCACATCCCCAAGGGCTCCAGAGGAAAAGCAGGCGTAAGGTAGGGTGGGGAGTGACAAGCTGAATAGGAGGAGCCCATGGGACCTCCAGCTGGGATTCCTCAGGATCTGGTTGAACCCCTTGTCATGGAATAAGCTGGGGGGGGAGCAAGGAGACCGAGGAGGCACAGAGAAATAGGTGTGAGTGGAGCAATGGGCACCTGGGTGAGGGTGGCTAAAGTCACCTTTGGTGCCTACTGTATGGCCAATGAGGGCCCTTTCCAGCACAGGCTTGGCAGAGATGAGGAGCAATGGTGCAGACTGGTAATGGTGACACCTGACTTTGGAGGCAAAAGAATGGGGTATGAGGATGGGACAAGGCATAGAAATGGCACATCTAGAGTTCATTTCCCACGTTGGATTCCCAGGGTACCTTAAAAACAGACACTAGTGAGTGGGCAGGTCCCTTGGCAGTGGATTAACTTTATTTTTAGTGTACAAAATAATAGGTTTTATTGTGACATTTCATATATATATTATTAAATCTTATTCATACTCTCTCCCCTACTGTTCTCCTTTGACCCTCCTCCCACTTCCTGGTCCCTTGAAAGGCTCCCTTCTGCCTTCATG